AAGAGAGCAATGATAATACCAACATGGGCCAGTGAAGCGACATCCTCCACAACTAGACTGAAGAACAAAAGGACAGCAGCTTGTCTGTTTCCCTTCCCCTGATTCCCCAATGCTGTTCCCCTCCCTCAACTCCCCCCCCCCAAAAAAAAAGGGAATTGTAATCCTATCAACTTCATAGCAGTATTCTGAGGGTTAAATGAGTTATCATATATACATTACTGCAAATGGTACCTAGCACATGATAAGTATTCACCAAACCTTACCAATTATTATTATTATTTCTGACAGTTATGAACTTTTTTCCTCTTGGGAATTTTCGGGGGAGAAAAAAATCACTTTCCGTGGCTCCCAGTCTTAGTGCATTCAGGCTGCTATAAAAGAATACCACAGACTGGGTGGTTTATAAACAGTTCAAATTTATGTCTCACAGTTCTGGAGGCTGGGGAGTCCAAGATCAAGGTGCTAGCACATCCAGTGCCTGGTGAGAACCCACTTCCTGGTTCATAAGTGGTGTCTACTCGCTGTGTCCTCACATGGTGGAAGGGGTGAGGGAGCTCTCTGGGGTCTCTTTTAGAAGGGTACTGATCCCATTCATGAGGAGTACTGATCCACACTCATGACCTAATCACCTCCCAAATGCCCTACTTCCTAATATCATCACCTTGGGGAATAGGGCATCAACATATGAATTTTTTGGATGATGCAAACATTCAATCTACAGCACTCCCAAACCTCATGCTTAGAGTGATGATGATAGCAGAGAGGAGGAGACGCTTTCTGGAGCTATTTCTGCATCACAATCAGCTGGTGTTGGTGCTGGCTTGGATGGAAGAGCAGGAAGGAAGAGCAAGCGGGTAAAGGGAGCAAAACACACAGTTTCTAACTGGTACATCTGGAGTAGGTTCCTAGGAAGCAAGGAATCTAGGGTGCAGAATTTAAGGAAGAACTCATTCTCATGTCAGTGCTGCAAGCACAGGGCACCTCAGGGGAGGGGGCTTGCAGGGAAAGTTTAAGAACGCTCCCCTCTTTTAATAGTTTTATTTAGATAAATTACATACCATAAAACCCACCTGCTTAAGTACATTTCAATGGCTTTAGTAAATTTTCGGAGTTGTGTAAACATCACCCCATCCAGCTTTAGGACACTTCTGTCATGCCCCAAAAGATCCCTTGTGCCCATTTGCAGTCCATCCCCACTCCCACTCCCCCATGCCCCCTTCCCCGTTTCAGGCAGTCATTAATCTGCTTTCTGTCTCTATAGGTTCTCCTTTTCTGGACATTTTGTGTAAATCGAATCATACAAAATGTGGCCTTTTGTGTCTGGCTTCTTTCACTTAGCCGGATGTTTTTGAAGTTTCTCCATGTTGTAGCATGTGTCAGTAGTCTGTTTCTTTTCATTGCTGAATGACATTCCATCATATGGATGGACCACAGTTTATCCATTCACCAGTTGAGGGGGATTTGGATTGTTTCTTTTGTTGTGAAAAATGCTGCTATGAATATTCATATATAAGGCTTTCCATGGACATATGCTTTATTTCTCTTGGGTAGATGGAATTATTGTATTTCTGCTTAACTTTTAAAGAAACAGCTAACTTGTTCCTCAAAATGGTTGCAACATTTTATATTCTCACTAGCAATGGGTTCAGGTTTCTCCACATCATCACCAATACTTGTTGCTGCCTTTCTGATTGAGGTTATTCTGGTGGGTGTCATGTGCTATTAGTTGTGTGAAACATACAACTTCTTGGAGATATCCAAGAAGCAGATGGCCATAGGGGTTGGAGATCGGGGATGTAGATATATCTTTGGAAGGCCTCAGCTGTAAACTCATTTAGTCAGTCAGCAACAATTTCTTGGGCATCTACTATGTGCCAAACATTGTTCTAAGTCCTGGGGATGCAGCTGTGAAAATTTCAGACATGTAGGTGCTCTTGTGAAGTTGCAAGTCTAGTGGAGGATACAGATCATAAACAAAAGTATAATATGTCACACGGTGATAAATGCTGTTCAAGAAAAATAGAGCAGAGTAAGGAACAGAGTAGTGGGGGCTGCTATTGTGGATGAAGTGGCCAGGGAGGGTCCGTCAGATATAATGACCATATTACTCAGGGTTTCAAAGAGAGAGAATTTGGTACAAGAAATTGGTTAAGTGTGAGATGGAAGAGTTGAGAAGCTAAACTGATCAGGGAATCCAGCAATAAATCTTAGCACAAAGCTATTAGAGGGACATGACAAAGGGTGGTGTGATAAGGAAGGGGCTCTTGTGTGGTTGCTGGGACCATGGAAGGGGTGTAGCCACTCTCAGAACACATCCTCACCCCAAGCAGAAAGATAGAGGAGAAATACCTGGCTTCACCCTTCCTTCCCTCCAGTCTTCCTCCAGTGCCTCCCATTGGATGATCCTAACAGGAAGCCAATGTGCAGGGAACCTGGGAAATGTAGTTTTCTGGAGAACGGTAGGGTATGTATCTTATCCACACTATGATAGAACAGAGATATAAATGAGGTAAAAGAGCTAACCATATGTGTATATATCTGTGGTAATAGTGTTCTGGGTAAAGGACAACAAGTGCAAAGGTTCTGAGGCCAGATGGAACCAAGGCCCTGGGGAGTGGCTGTGATGGTCTAGGCCCAATGTACAGAGTGAGAAGAGCTGGGGACCTAGGACAAAGCTCTGGGAGACAGCAAGGGCAGATGTGAATGGAGACTACTCCTTAGAGAAGCTTGGCTGTAAGGAGCTAGGGCAGTTTTCTACAGCACCAATGGTGATAGAAGGAGAGAGTACCATTAGGTTCCGAATTCTCTGAGCCAGGAGGCCTGGGAGCCCAGTGGTTTTTGGTGTCTGAAATTAGACAGACCTGGGTTCAAATCTTGGGCCCCCATTTACCTGCTGGGTCACCTTGAGCTGGTCCCCTCTCCTTTCTGAGCCTCCATTTACCTGCTGGGTCTCCTTGAGGTGGTCCCATCTCCTTTCTGAGCCCAGTACAGGGAAGTCACTGTACTTTTCATAGGAGGCTGTAATAACTACTCAGCAAGCACATTTGCAAAATGTTCAGCACTCATAAATGCAAGCTGTAGTATGAGTAGGCAAGGACACATCTCTTTTTTTTTTTAAAGCTCATTATTAGTTGCAAATAATAACAGCAGCTACTATTTATGAAATATTTACCATGTCCTAGACACCCTGCAAAATGCTTTACAAGCACCATCTCTCCCCACTCCCCAGCAGCTCACTCTGTTCTAACCACTCTGGACTCCTTCCCTTTTTTTGAACACTTATGCTCCTGCCCCAGGGCCTTTGCACTTGCTGTTCCCATTGCCTGGAACTCTTCCCTCAGATATCCGAATGGCTCCCTCCCTCACCTTCTTCAGGTCTCTGCTCAAATGTTACCTTCCCCAACCACCCTGATTAAAGTTTACTCCTGTGCTTATTCCTAAGCCCCTCCCGAATTGTGATGTCTTATTTTACCCCCCCACCCCCTCGCCTATTTTTTGTCTGATTCACCCCACTGAATGTTCAGCTCCACAAAGGCAGGCATTTTGTCTGTTGTTCACAGTGCCTGGGACATAGTATATGCTCAATAAACCTTTCACATGCTTCTCAGGACACCCCAGCCCTTTATACATATGGTCCATGGTCCTCGCAACCACCTCCTTTGCAGTTAGGGAAACTGAGGGGGAGACACGTCTTTGCTGCAGATCACTTATGGGGCAGAACCTACCTTTCGGTGTTGCTAAGGTCAGAAAAAGGGACAGTTCAAGGCCCGCACCCCTATGTTCAGGGCTTCTCCCCAGGCGAGCCCTCGGAAAGGCCTGAGTCATTGCCGCCTCCAGACGGCGGCGGCCGCGGGCTGCGGGCGGCCCCGGGCTGAGGGCGGCGGCGGCGGCGGCGCGCGAGGTGATGCGGGGACGCCAGGAGGGGGCGTGAGTGCAGAGAAAAACAGAGAAAATTAAACCCGCCGGCCGCTTTTCCCCGCAGCCTCGCTGCCTCCGCCGCCGGCCGGTGCGTGGATGGGAGGGGCCGGAAGCTCTGGGGACTGGAGGATGGTCCCAAATTCAGTTCCCCGCCCCCACCACAATTTCAAGTTGTGAGTGGAAAGCAGCCTGGTACTTGTCNCTGTATTGAAACACCCTCCCTATTCACCTGATCTGGCCCCCAATGACTTCTTTCTTTACCCAAAGATAAAGGAAATATTGAAAGGAAGACATTTTAATGACATTCAGGACATCAAGCGTAATCCGACGACAGCTCTGATGGCCATTCCAGAAAAAGAGTTCCAAAATTGCTTTGAAGGGTGGACTAGGTGCTGGCATTGGTGCATAGCTTCCCGAGGGGAGTACTTTCAAGGTGACCGTAGTGATATGCAGTGATATTCAGTGACTGTAGTGATTTTCCAGGATGAGTTCACGAACGTAATTATCAAAACTTGTGTACGTGTTTCTGTTTAAAAACACCTTATTTGATATATATTGTTGGTTCATTAGCCTTGAACTCATGGCCAAAGGCGCTATATACCTGAATGAAATTTATCAACCAGACGTATTTTCTCCTGAAGACACATCACACTGTCTTATTAGAATCACTAGATAGCACTTTAGCGCTATGTGTGGGGGCCACTTAAAATAAAGAAATCACCAATAAAAAGCATGAAAGTGTGAAAAATGTGGCACTAGCTGGACTGAAAAAGACCTGTTTACAGTGAGGAGAAGCAAGAAGGCAGAGCAAGGCGATGGCGGACCTCTGTTGGGAACCTGCGTGTGAGGGACCAAAATTTTTGCCACTCTGCACATGTCGATGAATGACCACCACAACCGTGCGTGTGTTGATTTGGGAGTTATAAATAAATCGTAATGAGTAGGCCAGCTTGCTCATATGGAGTCTGCGAATAATGAGACTCAACTGTATATACCTAGGAGTAGAATTGCTGGGTCATAGTTGGGGTTTGAGCTTTAGGAGATGCTACCAAACAGCCTTCCAAAGTTCCAGAAACTCTTCAAAGAATTTACCAGTTCGCTCTTCCACCAGTAGCGCCCGAGAGTTCCGGTGGCTCCACAGTGTCCTCAACGCCTGGTGTTGGCTTTTTCATTTTAGACATTCCAATAGGTGTGTAGTGGTATCTACCACCTTGTGGGTTTAATTTACATTTCCTGATGACTAATAGTGCTAACTAAATACCTTTTCACTTAGGTAGTTCCATTTGTGAAATGCCTGTTCAGGTCTTTTGCCCACTTCTCTATTAGGCTGTCTGCCTTTTTCTTATTGATTTGTAGGAATAAGTGTGTGCACATAGCCAGATTTTATATCGCTATCTATACATATTTTATATGCATATAAAATCAGGATATGAGTTCTTTATTGGACATAAGGATTGCAAATATCTTCTCTTACTCTGTGGCTTGTCTTTTCGTTCTTTTGATGGTATCTTTGATCAATAAACAATTTTTAAATTTTAATGTAGTTCAAATAATTTTTTTCTTCAAGGTTAGTGCTTGTTACTGTCCTGTTTTAGTGATCTTTGCCTACCCCAGAGTAATGAAGATATTCTATTTTTCTTCTAAAAGCTTTATTATTTACCTTTCACCTTTAGATGTACAATCTACCTGAAATTGATTTTTGTATATGATGTGAGGTAGGGATCAACATTTGTTCTTTCCCCTATGAATAGGTCTGATTGACCCAGTGCCATATAGCCTGTCTGGGATAGAATCCCCAGGGGCCTTTGGGAAAGTTTCTTAGCATAGCCTGTGCCTCTATTTCCTCATTAAAAAAAAAATGGGAACAGGGGCTGGCCAAGTGGCGCGTTGGTTAAGAGTTGGCTTGGGACACCAGTTCTGAGCAGCAGGGCTCTGGTTCAGATCCCACATGAGGGCCAGTGACGCGCCCTCTATAGCTAAGATGGTGAACAACAGCTTGACCTGGAGCTGGGCTGCTGTGAGTTGCCGGCGACGGCGTAGGCTGCAGTGTGGCTGGCCAGCAGCTGGCATGCGCTTTCGTGAGCTGCCATGAGCCCCTGTGAGCAGCCGTCCAATGGCCGGCGAGTGACTGCCTCACCCCGGAAGAGAGCAATGATAATACCAACATGGGCCAGTGAAGCGACATCCTCCACAACTAGACTGAAGAACAAAA